TCCATAAACGAGAGCCCAAGTCGATGTTGCACATTGCCACAGCACAAGATCGCTTGCATGATGTACACTGAGCTGCCCGTGTGAAGAATAATTACAGCCTGTAAAAAGAAACTAAAATGCGTGCAGAAGCTTGGCTGCAGCGCGGAAACACCATTGCGGTCTTATACGCTGTGCGTTTCCTTGGCCTCTCGAGATGGCGGAAACAAGAAAAGAAAACGTGGAGATTAACGCGGGGCCTAACGTCGTAGCGTGGAAGCGGCAAATTACCCGCCATTATTTTCGGTGCGTATACGGCGTCATCTCAGCTTGCGTCCCAAATCAAGGGACATTAGCTGTGCCTGCAGGTCGGACACACGCGCGACACCATAATCAACTCTCGAGCCGTCAACAATGCCTTCACCCCGCGCTGACGCCGGATAACGAGGGCTACTCATCAAGGCGGAGCTGTATAAGCGTCCATGTCTACTAATGAGGCGCTGGTCAACAAAACTTAAGCACTTCGCTCCCGCGATGTTTTTGAAATCGGCAGCCAAGGTGCGCTAACGTTGCGTTTTGGTCATCTCTTTGATGGCATATACTCGGACGTATACACACGCCGAGAAGCATGCAGAAAGAACGAGGCAGCAGGATGTGCTCCTCTGTTATGACGTGACGTACTATTTCACACAACGCCAACGTACTGATGTCATTCATTCATGCCTGCCGTCTCCATAGGCAGAAACGAGAAACAGGACTATAAGCTGAGTTCATTTATGCAATTCAAGACAGCTAATCGTGGTGACTGAAACGTAACCCACCAATTTACACGTGTTTTCGAGCCTCTCAAGGTTGTCGACACGGTGTCATCTCGTTTGCTGCGGCGGGTAACGTCAGCACGGTAAGTTCGTGGCAATTAACCGGGAAGAAAGGCTTTCCTTCCCACCAGAAAATAAACAAAGAAATCGCTGTTCTGTGCGCCTTGAACAAACGATTATGCAAGCAGATAATGCTAAAACAAGGCGCACTGCACGGCATGCCTCTCGGTGGGCCCCACTTGTGCGCTATTCCTTGGACTTGCATGCCAGCAGCTCTTCTGGTCCGCTCACGTCGGGCGGCGCCTCAGCGGAGCGTTGCGCTCGCTGTCATGCCGAGCGGGCGCTTGTCAGCGTGCAGCAAGCCGCACGGAGGTCTCGTTTCCGGGCAGGAAAGTAGATGCGCCTCGCAAGCATGGGAGGACGCTAAGAAGCCGAGGCAGAGCGGTCGGGCGAGATAATTAGTTCCAATGGGTGGAAATCCTCCCTTGGCGCGCTCGGCCAGCCACACCGGGCTGTCTCACGTCGCGAGCCGCGCCCGCCGCCGCGTGCGCTGGCGAGAAATCTAACGCGAGCACGCCAAAATGTGCTACTGCGAGGATGAGTCATTTTGTGAACGCGCCCGCCCGCTCCCGCCATCCCATCTAACCCTCCTCCCACCATTCTGCATGATGGCCCCGCCAGGCAGCACCAGTGCATAGACGAGTGCAGGACGGTGGCGTACAGCGGCCTGAAACACGAGACGTGCAAGTCGAGCTTGCCGCCGACATGCCTCTTGAGCTTGATAAAAAGCGTGCAGTGGCGCGCTCGTAATTGCGTAGATTGGTTTGTGGACGAAACTCCACATAAAAAAGTAGAGCTCCCCCCCCCCCCAAAAAAAAAACAATAAGGGTATTTTTCAGTTAAATTCCCAAGCGTGAGGACGAAGCCAAGTATTTGACAGCCTGAGATGTGCATGAACGGACTATTTGTTTGAAACGTGATATACGAGAATACACCAGTCCGATGCGAAACCGTTGCTGATTTTTTCCACAAATCCTTTGGCTATTGGAAATGAGGGTTTCACAGAAGTGACACAATTGTTCCAATAAATCATACCACTGTTTTAAGCATTTTGGGGCTCACAATGATGTGAATATTTTTCAGAAAATAACCTAGCCTTTCCTACTTCTTCGTGAATGGAATGGCCATGTGCAGCATGAAGTGCACTCTGTTGCGCCGTATATACGATATAATAAGGCGACCACGTTCACTCGAAGGCTGCAAAGGTCGCCACTCATTTTGCGGGACTCGCTCAAAAGCGGTGAATTTGTCACACTCCGGGTCCATTGAATGATGCGCAGCCGTGGGGTCGCATTCTTTCGCCTCACACTCGATGGACCCGGCCGAGTTCATAGAAACGCTGTTAAGGTGACGAGCTCCCCCGCTGTCATCGCCGGCCTGTAGCGCTCGTTATTTTTCTCTCGCCGACCGCCTCCTCGTGTAGCAAATTGCCGTGCGGAAATCGGACTCTTTGAATAGGTGTCAAGTCGAAGCAGGAGGTGAACACCACGCAGGCGGCTCTGCAGGTTGAACGCTGTTCTCTCGCTCTCGCAAGGCCCACTACTGAGCCGCGAAGCCGAGAAGTCGATACATCACCGAACACGGCGCTTGGGGGATGCGGCATACAATAGCCGACCGGTGCGGGGGTCACACCGCGGCCAAGAAAAGCGCCGACTGTCGCCGCGTTCGCGCGCAAGATGCGCTCTTTCGCGGTGCCGCCGCGAGATGAACAAGAGCTCCGCTAATCGAGCACTGATGCGCACTGCGCTCCTTGGACCAGAACGGGGCGGGGTGCCGCCGCCGCGGCTCCTCGTGCCGGGGCACGTCATAAATCAAGCCTTCTTCCGAAAACCGCGATTGTCGGTGGCGTCCAGGACAGCACGGCGTTGAATGGCGCGTGTCGTGCGGTCGCCACCCCGCCCCCTGTCGCCCCCTCGGTTCCGCCGGTGCAAACGCCTTCGACTTTTCTCGAACTCCATTAAGACGTCGCCACGGATCAGCCCTTGTTCGCCACCACAACGCGGGACCGTTGCCAATCGGGCGGAGTGTATCGGATGCTATATGGACCGGTGGTTACGCCATGTGCTAGAGGAAACAGATTTTATCACTGCTTTCGGGGTAGCCGCGACCGAATGTGCTCCTATGTTCGTATGATAACCGATACCTACGAATTCGTATAGCTGCACATGCAAGATTTTCGGCTTTCCTACTTGTATAGTTTGTACCATGCCACCTGGCATTCGACAGAACTTTGAGACTACTTTCGGTTGCGTATTGAATGAGGTCATGTGCGCGTGCGTATCCTTGTTGATCCTTTTGTTCTGCCCTTTCTGCTTACTTCTCCTTCCTGAATGTAGGGTAGCAAACCGAGTGCAACAGAATTAACCTTTATGACTATTCTGTCTGTCAATGTCTCTCCCACTTTTTCACTTGGCGTACAATCGAAAACAATAACATACGAAGCGAGAAAAAGAAACAAATACCTTTTATGAGCAAGTGTGGTAGCGGGGAATACAGAAAGAAGGCGATAGTTAAATATACGTGAGACAATAGAACGAGATGAACCGCTAGCTTTCTAATGTGTGTTTCATACCATCAGGACGTATTATTGCAAACGTTCCATTTGTTATACCTATTATGACGGCTACAACAATATCATTATTTTGGCAGTGACATACATTGTGTTGTTTGTTTCTGCTCCTGAAAGCTCTACAAAGAGATAGGTGCGTTTTGTATGCTGTGGTTGATTGATTGATATGTGGGGTTTAACGTCCCAAAACCACAATATGATTATGAGAGACGCCGTAGTGGAGGGCTCCGGAAATTTCCACCACCTGGGGTTCTTTAACGTGCACCCAAATCTGAGCACACGGGCCTACAACATTTCCGCCTCCATCGGAAATGCAGCCGCCGCAGCCGGGATTCGAGCCCGCAACCTGCGGGTCAGCAGCCGATTACATTTGCCACTAGACCACCGCGGCGGGGCTGTATGCTGTGGTTGAGTGTGTACAGTAGGCACTTCGTAATTAAAAAAACTCAACAAAAAGTCACAGCTTTGCTGCGAAGATGAAGCAATGAAGGCGATAGCAACAAATTGGAATGTCACGTGTAGAATAGAAAGCAGAGCGAAAGGTGCCCCGCGTTTCTCACGCAGAAATCACGCTCGAAACGTACTCACAGGTAGAGATGAACGCGAATGAACGTCTCAGTTGTTACTTCGCTCTCTCTGAAAAACGGAGACTGCGATGATTGCTGTGACCTTTGTGCGCCATGTAACTACAGAAGAATCGTTCCAAGTAAAGCCCGAGGCCAGCCAAGACGTACGATCTTCCCCTCCTCCTCACCGCGAGATAAGGGCGCGAAAGCATAGAGTTGAGGGCGCACGAGGGAGCGTCGCGCCCTTCTTCTAAGCGTTGCAAATTACGCGTGGGAGATGAGAGCGCGCCACCGCGAGATGTGGCGCCGCGCGCTCATTTCGCCATCTTGCTGGTAATGCTGAAAACACCAATTCCCTCGAGATGGCCGTCAGCAGCGGTGTGTGGTACATATAAATAGCTTGCTGTCAAGACGCTGAGATTCCACGTTCGATGCCGCGCTCCGAAGTATTTAATAGGTATATATATATATATATATATATATATATATATATATATATATATATATATATATATATATATATATATATATATATATAATATATATATATATATATATATATATATATACATATATATATATTATATATATACGATGAATGACGCCGATGTCAACGCCGGTGGCAAAATCCAGCCGAGAGTGTCCATATAATTGCTATCGCAATAAAACAAAGTTGCATGGTTTAAGTTATGCATTTGGCCTTTCGAGTCTGTTAACAATGAAGGGCAAATGCAAACAAAACATATGCAGTTTGTGAAAATTAGGTCATGACATTGTCAATTGTTCGTGGTCAGTGTCTCAGTATCAGACATAACATTCATATATATACACAAGCTTAAACGATGGGACAGTAGGTCCGCCGAATAACTTAACGCCTTGTTGCCATTATTGTGACATATTGTTCAAAGTAAATAGATGTTTTGTGAAGTTCAGCAGCGATAAGTTAAAGTGACGTATAAAGCCCCCGGAGCGTCGTCGCTTATAGCATGTATTTTTCCTTTTTCTGCGCAGATTCCTCCAGGGAGAACGGCGGCTCTTTCAACGGTCGGCAGCCAGTAAAGAAGAAGCGGAAGTCGCGAACGGCGTTCACCAACCACCAGATCTTCGAGCTGGAGAAAAGGTTCCTCTACCAAAAATACCTGTCACCCGCCGATAGGGACGAGATCGCGCAGTCGCTGGGGCTCACAAACGCCCAAGTGATCACATGGTTCCAGAACCGGCGCGCGAAGCTCAAGCGGGATATGGAAGAGCTCAAAAAGGACATGGATGCTGCCAAGATCCACACCATTCACAAGACCCTACTGGACAACATACAAGATCTCAGCAGTTTCAAGAAGGACATCCACAAGGCTGCGAGCGGACCGTGAGCCCCTGACGCCACGATCTTCTCGGAAAGTCCAAAAAAAGTTCTCGCAAGAACTGTCGATACCTTCTATGGGTTCCATGTGCAGAGACAGCCTTTCTACGGGTAACTCGTCGGACAGTGCGTTGGCGACGCCGCCGTCGCCACTGCTTTGCCATCTTGTGCTATGGTCCGCTTCTTCGCGGCGGGCCGCAAGGTGCACACGACAACACACACGCATGCTACAAGCCACCACGCGAAACCGCGAACTGTGCGCTTGGTGTGCTCTTTTTCTCTGAATGCCATGTATGCCTCCCTTTCTTTCGCCGCTCTCCCCGGTAGAGGGAGCTACTCTGTCGTGCTCCTCGCATATACGTAACTGGTCCCCCGAAGTGGGCTGACTTCATGCAGACAAAGTCCTGAAAGGAGAGTATTTATTTACCATGTAGTAGTTCCCTGTGAAGTACACTTTTCGTCACGATTGTGCTGGCCGGCTGCGGGCGAGCCTTCCACAACGAGCTGTTATTTGACTTTTTTTTTTTACATTCATTACTGACGCGATACGAAAATTGTCAGATCATTTCGTGTTCTATAGTAACATTCAATGAAGCTTGGCATCAACTTACTTATTAGAAAGCGAACCACTGATGTCATGGAGCGGGAAAGATAGCCAACTTTCTGTATTGGCCTTCACGCTATTTAGTTGTGGTTCTGAGAAACGCCCACCTTTAGAAATCCAGGCATTATGCAGCTAGAGTCAAGCATCCCTTGCATGTAATGATAGGTCCACTGCACAGCTCAGTCTTGGATTACCAAAGGAACATCCAACAAACAGACAGGGGGGGGGGGGGAAGTGACCAATTTATTTGTGAACACATTGGTCAAGTCTACTAATATTCTTTTTTGGTGAAACCGCATAAAGCTTGTTTTGGTGAGACTATTTTTTTCTATTATTTATGTGTGCGTTCTTATTCTGATACATTGCTCGCGCAGTATCAGTATTTTAAGTTGAGATAGGAAGGCGCTCACATTTTGTCAATTGATTCAATGCACGTATACATGCTCAAATGGCGGGTAGCTTGATTGCCGCTACTATTGGCGTGCTTGAGAGGCTGGAACCAACAGTATTCGCTCACATCGATGCCTGAAGTAGAGCATGAACACATTTTCAATGATGGACAGGTTAACTAAAAATTTTATTTTGTATAATCAAAGTTTAGTTGGAAAAACGTACGACTGTAAACAAAACAAAATTTTCAGAACTTTACCGCACACTCATAAGAGAGAAAATCCTGCCTTTTCATCGCCGGTCTTGAAGAATCAAATTGCGAACAGTACTGAACAGTTTGCCTCAGTTAATTGCTGAAAACATGTGCAGATTTTTTAAGAGAAGCTATGAAATCATTTCCAAAGTGGACATAACGTGGCGATGACCTGTTCTTCGTGGTCCCTGTATCTATCTGTTGCAATGTTTTGCCCAAAAAAAGAATTTTTTTGTTTTCCTTGATCAGAGAAAAGGCGATTTTATTAAGTTTATGTTCTAAAGCGTTGAGAGCATAGATGACGTTCGATAAATAGTGCCGGCGGTACGTGCCCAGCAGTTCACTATTGTGCGAGGAAACGTCTCGGCAGCTCGGTCAACACGACAATCGCGCCACCTATTCGTGTGCAATCCATTCGCTCTTGCACTTGAAGGCGAAGCACACACACCCGTTCCCGCGCAGTGTTTTTCAAGCACTCAGCTGCGTGTAACGATTTCAAGGAGAGTCGAATGAAGGTCCGGAGGGCCCACCAGTCGGTCAGCGGTGACTTCAATGACCTGGTCAACGGAGTCTTCTGCGAGGCAGAGGCCTTCGCCCTGTATATACGTATGCTTTCGGCAGTTGCTGCTATGTCCCGTGTACATATGTTACATCTTCGCCCATAAATTTATGTAAAACTCTACGGGCATCTTGCGCGAACACAGCCGCCGGCAGGCCTCGGCTATGTTGAACTGTACGCGAAATATTTGCTTCATTCTGTGTCGTTTTGTTTGGTCTTACTTCCTTGGGCTTTATTTACCTTCGTACATCAGCACAACGAAACAGAAATGCAACACGGCGCTCACAGCGAAAACCTTTGTATCTTTTGTATTTTTTTCCATGGTCTGACTATTTGAGGTGTTCTAAAACAATTGTTAATACGGCGACATGAATCCCCGGTTTGTGGCATCCGTTAGAGGTGCCAGTCATTCTTGTCAGAAATTGCTTTACCACGAATTGCGCTTGGTACACGCCCATCACTTATATTTATACCCGAGTGCTCGAATCCAGCTTATTGGCGCAATTAGAGAGGAAAACAACATTGTCAACGAAAATACACACACAGCCTTCACGAAAGTATCTTCAGCATGTATATATACATGTATATGCAGTAGTGAACGACTCTTGCTGGAAAAGAAATCTAACAACCTTGGAAAAACTGTCGCCGCTCCGTAGAACACACGCAGCGGCTGACGAATATTACATGCAGCTTTCGCATTTTTCAAGGTCATCACAGAGCGGCTTTTATTTAAGAGCCTTACATCCACTTCCCTCTTTTAGCCGGCCGAATGCGCGTAGACTTCGCATTTTTGGCCTCCTGTGCGTGGTTTAAATACGTAGTGGAACAGCAGCGAAAGTACGAGCCAGTACAGTGAAAGCGTTCCACGGTGACCGACCACAATATGCATATCCTCAACCCACGCAGTACAGTTCAAAACAGAGGAAATAAAGCACACAACCAGAGCCTGAAAGGCACAAATCGTGAATGAAAAACAATCTTTCCCAAACAAGGATTCTTTTTCTTTCGTTTGCATCACCACTCACTTCATGCGCCTGTTACGAAGCAAAGGTGTACGCTGCCATGTGTTGCTTTTAAAAACATTTCACTTCCCTCATCTCCCCGCTATCATTGCCTTTTAGTTCTGATCACGACAGTTTCAAACGCCTGCCATGCATGATAAAACACTGCCGTTTGGTCAAGGCCTAACGGTAGATTTTATAAGAAAGAAAAAAAAAAAGCGACAGAGAACTCGCACAGCTTGCACACTGTCATCCAACCAGTACACATCATGCGAGATACGTAAAATGCGAACGACTTCGAAAGCTTGCTCGCAAAGTGGCTTCGCTCACACAGATGGTAAATACGTCAAACCGAACAACCAACAGTCGTCTTCGAGTAAACTATTTCTCGAATGAGTTTTTCTTCTTCTACTGTCTAGTTCTAATTCTTTTTTTCTGTTCGTTTCTCAGAAGGAAACGTCGGCTCACACCAAATATACCGGGCCTACCGTACAGGTCTCGTAGCGACTGCTCCGTATACACTTTGCAACGCATTATACACATTGTACATAGTGAGCAGCCAGTCTTGTTGTGCAGAGTTTGCGTCTTTACTGCGAGAGTAAACATTGTGTCGTGTTTTTGCGTGTTGTTACGTGTGAGATTCAAGCCTGTGTCGTCAAGTCCTTTCTTTCTCTCTTCATTTTTTTTATTATCTTTTCAATGAAGCCGTGTGACAGTGGTGGCCAATGCTGTATTGAACAATGAGGGTGGGCTAGTGCTGCCAAAAAAGAGAGAAATATCGCCGCCAATATCGTACTTTACACTAGCTGAACCCGTCTGAGAATGCATAATTTGCCAGCGATACCAGCCAGGTTACGTGTAGTGTTTGTTGAGCCTGTCCAATTTCTGCCTTCATCCAGGCTTGTTTTTTAACTGGTTTCAAGCCAGCTGATGAATAATCATTACAATCACACCTATTGATCGAGGCGCGGCATCTTGATTGTCTCTTGGTTCACAATCATGTTTCAGGCGAAAAAAAAAAAACGTATACGTACGGTTCGCGTTGCAATCACAAAACCACTGTTGCCCGTGCTTCTTTCATATATTGTAAGTAGTTCCTATTTAAGTACACGACAAAATCTAAATGTTTATTATTACTTGCGTATTCAATGTTTTGTTAAATATTGGTATCTGTACACATCACTGAACGATCCTGTGATAATTCTTATTGTTTCGAGAGACGTTGTAGCGTTCATACCTGAATGAACAATGCGTATAACAATAAAATCTGAATTTATCCATCGCCTCTGATTTCTTGGCCACCAGGAGTCTCGCCTAATCATTGCCGAGTCATCACATACGGCTTGAGACTCCGGCCCACAGCCAAAATTGGTCATGGAGGATTTCTAACAGTATAGTGGAAGTTCAACTGCATGAGAGCATAAATTTTATGAACCGGTCATACACGAAACCCCCGCGAACTCAGGTGAGTGCAAGTACAAGAAAAACCATTCTTTTTCTCACGACATGCCGGATGACTCAAACCTGGTCAACGACATTGCGAGCAGAGCGCAGTGTGGAGATCGGCCATACCGCGATTTCGGTAACCCAATAGTGTGAAAGTTAAGCCTCAGTCCCATGACGGGTACAGCTGCTTGCGGCTGGGCGACAGCTGTGTACATGCCAGGCGTGCATTCAATCAGGGCGTTTCATGGTGCGTGTGAATACGACTGGAGAAAGGAGTAAAAGGAAAAAGTGAGAACTTGATATACATATAGCACACTAGTAGTAAGAACTTTAGTAGATATTTTTGTGGCAAATAATACTGCTGAGAAAGAACAGAAAGGTGAGATATAAGAAGTTAATGAACATTACGTATAATTCCCTTCGAGGGAGAAGAGGGTCACAAATGCTGACTAATAATGCGAGCGACTCATTGCGCTCAATAATGGTTTGTTTACAGAATGAATGATTTTGTGCTCGTGATCATTCATTAATAAGCACGTGTACATGTGCTGCTGCATGCTGCGCATCACAGCAGGGGCATGAATTCGGTCGCAGTAATATGAGGAAGAGTGGATGACATGACGACATATATACCTAAAACCCACTTTTAGCATCCTGACTGCGGTCACAGTAAAAAGAAAACACAAAAAAGACATGAACAAAATGAAAGGCATTTATGTTTGCCTCATCTGTGCTACCGATGGCAGCTGGAGATTTAAAGGTATTTTAAGTAACCAGACACTTCAGTATCAGTATATACACTGTGCTGGTCGATATTTTTTCAGTGATGTTTCGAGATAATTGCGCTAATTGCACCTTAGTGTTTGTAAATTGCCACCTTCAATGGGACAGAGTCCGAGGATGTAGTGCAGATAATTATATTTCTTCTGTTCAGTTTTTCTCTTACATGTGGATTCATAAGCATGCGTGATAATTCACC